GCTTGGTGGCAATCGAAGATAATCCTTCAGAGATGTAAGGCATACTCTTTCATACTTAAGTCAAACTCTATGGACCTCTCCTCCCAAGAAAATGCCTCTGTGCCGAGGCACATAAAACATTCTACATAAATCTACAAGGAACTGCTAAAGGCCACCCACAGACTAGTCCCCGGAGCCAGGAGACCAGCTTCAGGGAGCGGCCACATGGGTCAGAAGTCTGGAGATCAGGGCCAGGACTAGCGCTGCCTTTGCACAACCCTGGGAGTGAGGTCCTCTTTAAAGTTTGTGCACTAACCACCTCCTTCCCTTACCTCAGGCCCAAGCCCACTGAAGATGGAGGGGTATGGCTACATCTGAAAGAAATAAATACCCGGTCACATATGTCATTTCCTACTCCATCAAAATCGCATTGGGTTAATAGCCAAAAGCCAGATACTTGCACATTACAAGCCCTCCTTCAATCCCTCCTCATAAGGGGACCCAGCAGCATTGAACAAGATGTGTCTACGGCCCATCTTGACACTGCTTATTCCAGAAATCTCTCCTCTCTGAGCCTGAGGTGACCACAGCAAGCACTCTCCCAGGTCCTCGCCACTCGTGTGCACACGCTGCAGACCTGGCTCTGAATGACCTACACCCAGAGGTGGGCAGCACCTGCATCCTGACAGGTGCCGGAACTTCAATGCTAAGGTTCATGTCAGTAATTAACATTTCCAACAATCAGCTACTGGAGCACTGAAAATCTCAAGCCTGGCATAGGATTCGCACATCCCATTGGCACTGCTTTTCTCTCCTCACTCTGTTTTTCTTCTTCTTCTTGCTTTAAAAGTAGGCACCCATAGTAATATTTCAAATGTACGAACTTGACTTCCCAGGAAGCCTACTACTCTCTCAAACTTCTCAGCTGGAGAAACTAGATTGGCAAGAGTCACATGTCACCTCTACCTTTTTGGCTTTCCTGATGAGGCGAGCCCCCTGGTCCCCTCCTGAAATAGCCCTTTCTAGGATTGTGGCTCAATGACCAGATGAATAATTAAACTCTAAAATCCAAGAGGCGAAAAACGACAGCTGCCTCCTCCAGCTCCTAAGGAAGACTAAAGTGGAGGGGAGCCCTGCTGCTGAGGCGTGTGTGTGTGTGTGGGGGGGCACCAGGAACTGGGGCCGAGGAAGATAGTCTCAGATTTTCTTTCTGGCTTTAGGAAGACATAAGAAAACTAGGAGCCACAAAAGTGGGAAGTGGTATGGACTTGCTGCTCCTCGGGAATGGAAAAAGTGAGGGTGAAAGGGTTATTCACAGTACACATTTTTTCCATTGATTACTTTACTTAAAGAGACTATGTCATTTCCCTGGAAAATCGAGGAGGGGGGATATTTTCTTTTGAATATCTTCAAACATTTGCAAACGGTTACTCTAAACTCCCCAATGTACCATAAACAAGTGTAAACTGCAGAAATTCAGAAAATGTGCAAATACAAACAGTTATCCCCAAGCTCTAAGGCAAAGACACAGAAGGGTGTATTCCATTTATAAATGGAATTCTTTGTGGATAGAATAGTTTGGGAAATGTTTATACATTGTTTTCCTTATTATTTGGGGGGGGGGGATATTTTTTTCCAGCTTACAGAAGCTGCAGAACTAGTATTTGGAGTCTTAAAAGTTGAAGATTAAAGAAAGTTTACAACCTTTTAAAATCTTCAACTAAACTTCATTAGTTCTGCATCTGGGAAAAAATCTGCCCATTAAGATAATATGTAATCATACCAACAAACAAGAAGGCATAGAGTCAGGTAACCAGGAACCGGATAACTTCAAAATGGGAAAAAATACACTATAATTTGACAAGAACTAGCACATATGATTACCTCCTTGAAGACAACTGTGGCTACCTGGATTATTCATTTCAAGATACAATCTGCTTTGATTCCATCTAAAATGGGGGGCGGGGGAAGTAATACAATATGAAGGTGGTGGTATAGTGAAAAGAATGAAGAACACTGATTGAAGCTACTGACTGACTTACCTATGAGAAATACTATAATGAGTCACCAACAAGCAGGTGAAAAAATCACTCACCTGCACCTCACCCACCAAACCCAGCCCAGGTTTGTTTTTGGTTTTTAATGCTTTCCACTTTGGCTCTGAGTCATCACCAAACAGTGTTCACTATCAGGGCACAAAAGCCACGCAATCCTTTATTTAACAGATGCATTTCCAATTTCTACAACCATACGGACGGGCTGGGTTTCCGAAGGCATAGAAGAAACCCAGGAAGGGGCCGAGGGCGTGATGAATTACGGCGGGTTGAGACTGTGCTGCGAGGTGACTCGGAACGACAGAGGGCAAGAGAAAATGTGATTTAGTGGAGGAGAGGCGGCGCTTCCCCCATCTTAAATCACGTGCCTTGTCACCTGCTGTAGCTGGCAAAGCCGGAGAGTCTCAGACTTTAGAGAAAAGCTGTAATTTCTTGGGGGGCCCATCATAAAAAGAACTAATCTCAAGGGGCTGTGGGGTAATTTCATCACGGCATCTTCTGAAATTGGCTAAAGCCAGGTTACTATTTTTAGTAACGACTCTGGTCCACACGCAAGACCCTCACCTATTTCTTTATTCGGAAACATCTATCATCCAAATAGCCATCATATATTTCATGCTTTTATGTGCTTTTGGCCAGAGGCACTTAGGCTACTTATGGACCAGAGGCACTATTCTTGACCTGGTCACTTCCCACTCCAGTAATGGTAGTAGAATCTTTCACCTTCCCGTTTTTCCTTTTATGTCACTTGAATGAACGATATTAGAATGTGTTTAAACTGACAATTCCAGTGCTTCCAGGCTTTCTGAAGGCCATCACTTTTTTTTGGTCCCACATCTCCCCATTGCTCACTGCTTTGTCAACCAGATGAAATGACTCTGGTGGAGAAATCTGGGGCATTTTCAATAGAGGCGACTCTAAGAAGGCTGAGGCCATCTGTCTTCAGACAGCAGAACTTGTAGATGGAGAATCGAGAAGAAACGGCGAATTGATTTTAAGTGTTCTGCTCCTACTGGCAAAGCCATCCACGGAAAAGGAAACCTCAAACTATGATGGCTGAGAATCCCTTCTTGCACCACCCAGCAAGCCCCTGGCTCTGGCTCCGTGCCTCCCAGGCAAACTCTGGCTCTAAGTTACACGCGTGCTCGTGTAAAGACGCTGGACCTAGGGGCAATGGTCTGGACACGCCACATCGAGTGCTCTGGTCCACACCTACATGGCCCGCTGTGTACTGATGGGTTGTCATTCTAGGTTTGTTGTTATGAAAACAGGAATTGGACACTGACTGTCAAAAAAAAAGAAAAGCCTGAACCCTGTCCACACGCTGAGAGAAGTTGGTAGGTAGGCATGGTTTTTCTATAGGAACTTTCCCCTCAGACCGCTATGGTGGATAAAAGAATTGTATCAAGCACTGTAATAAAGGGACCAACGAGCCTATTCTCTTTTGATGGTTTAAAGAAAATGTAGCGCTGGAGTCAGGCTGGATTTGAATACCGACTCTGCTTACTAAGTTGATGATCTTGGACAAGTTACTTAATTTCTGTCTCAGTTTCTTCATCAGTAAAATGAAGACAATAATACTTGTATGGCTTGGATCTGAATAAATACTATTGAAAAGCACTTAGAAGACGGCCTGTACACAACGAACGTGAGCGATTGCTCTTCCTGTGCACGCCACTTCCCCTCCCCAGGCCTCCCCCTTCCTGGGCTTTCATTCCCACCCACTGTAAATGCCTCCAGGGCAGGCACTGCATCATATTCACCGCATCTCCCCAGTTCCTGGAAGGAGCTCTGCACAGGTTTGGTGTTCAATGAATGTTCATTTCTCTTCCTTTCCTCTCCATAAACAGTTAATAAGCCTCAACTAAATACCAGCCTGTTTCCTGCCCTTTTGGAAAGTGGGGGAGAGCTCCGGCTCTGGGTTTGTCAGATCTGAGTTAAATACTGGTTCTCCTCCTCACAAGCTCTGATTTGGGTGGCACCTCCAAGCCTCATCTTCCTCCTTGGTAAGAGCAATGATGCTGTTCCACCAGGATGGGCAGGGGGATCAAAGCAGGCCACATCTGGCTACTTGGAGGCATCCCACCCATGTGAGTTCCCCCTTCCCTTCCTGAGATTCTGGACTCCTTATCAAAGGCTCACTTGGCTTCAGCAGGACAACCCTCCCCAGGTCAGAGGCATGCACTCTCCTCCACTTCAGCAAGGTGGCCCTTTTCTCTGTCAAAGCCTCCCACTGTCTGCAGAGCTGAGCAACCCACCAGCTGAGCTGCTGAGCCCCAAATCAGGAAAAAGCAAAGCTGGTCAGTGATGCTTGACGCCTGCCCTAGGGAATGGTGGTTGGTGACCAACGAAGGAAGAGATCCCATGAACAGGAGCTATGAGCCACTGCTCCAACACCCTGCCAGGCAGAGGGGACTTAGGGCTTGGGTTCCGCTGGCATAAGCATGTAAGAAAGGTAGTTTTTATTCTCATGTTGCAAACGGAAGACCACGGTTATTGAGAGAATTTGGTGAGTTGGGACATTCCGCCCATGTGTGTACCAGCTCCAGGAAGTGGCCCAGCTTACCTTTTATCACAGCCCTGCCAAACTCATGACGGAACATTTACCTGCCCCAAGAAATCTCCCCTACCTCCCCACGTCCTCCCTTTTCAATACGGTGAATTACAGAGCATAATAACAAAGGAGTAATTAAGGGGGTAGCGTTCCAAGTTAGGTTCAAGACTGGGCTTTACCATTAAGTAAGTGGCCTGAGGCATGGCACTTACATGCTGTGACTCAGTTTCGTCAGCTGCAAAATGGGCATGATGGTGGAGCAAGATGATGACAGTGAGTGACGACACACGCTGTATTGTAAAGCATGTCAGGTAAAATCACGACTATCGACTCAACACTCTGGCCTCTGCCTTGTAAAAAATAAGGAGAGGTGCCCTGGCTCGGGCGGAGGAGTGCCTGGTGCACATACAAACCTTTTACTTATTCTGATTTCTAATTCGGAGGCACCTCCTTTTGAGCGGAGGCTCCAGGTCCTCAGGCCCGGCGCCGAGCAGGGGCGAGGAGATGATGCAGGGCGCCATGGCCGTCTTCTCCGCGGGTTTTGGCACAGGCTGGATCACGCAGCCCGTCTTGGGCAGCATCCGCAGAGCATACGCGTGGTCCTCGTCCGCGGGGTTGTTAAGGTTCGGGTCTGACTTGTCGCCCCCCGCCAGGGCCTCCTCTCCGATCAGCTTTTTGGCCGCCTCCCCGTCCAGGTGGCAGTTGGAAGCACAGTTGTTCTCCTTGACGGACTCCAGCTCGCTCACCGCGGGCTCCTCGGGGGACAGCAGCTTCTTGGGGGGCGCGGGCAGCAG